TGCATGCGGACGGAGCTCAAGGAGATCCCCCTCAACTCAGCACCTAAATCCAATGTCTAGAATCGGGTCCATTGGACACCCCGCTGGGCACTTGGCCCCTCCCCCACCCACACACACACCTTGGGCTGCTCAGACCCTCCAGATGAGGTTCAGCCCAGACCTGAGAGGAACCCTGGAAATGTGAAGTCTCTGTTGGTGTGGGAGAGACGGTGAGGCCCCGTCAAGAAGGCAGGTAGCAGTCAGGGTCACAGCTGCAAGAACGGCCAATGTCTGCTGAAGCCTTGGTGTCTGGGAGGTTGGCAAAGAGACGTCTTTCAGGGTAATAACAGAATTGGAACTGTGTCACTCTTGAGCCACCATACCTGTCACCAGCCTATTATTTAAAAAAAGAAAAAAATCAAGGATATCTGATTGGAGCAAATCATTCTTCCAGTCATGTGTCTTCCCTCCGGGGACAGCTGTTACCTTTGTCGTGTTGCTGAACCACAGCTCTTCTGTTGGAGAAGCTCTTGGTTTCTGGATCCATAGCTACAGAAAGAGATGTGGGTGCAAAGTACCTGGCTGCTGTTGGGAGAGGATGGCAGATGGAGCAAGGAAAGCAAGCACAAGGAAAATGCACAGTCCGTGTCCTGTGACACGCATGTGCGCACACCCATGAGCCCATGATTAACTTCCTGCCAGTGCCCTCTGCTGGGTCCACACCCTGCTGCCAGCTTTCATCAGCAGGGCGCACAGAAGAATCCCAGGATTGGCCCATTTAACCCTCACATGATAGTGACTGCCTTGTCTCTAGGAGTTACCAGGCACCCCACCTCCCCCTGGACCTCGGGTCTACAGTGGTTCCCTTTTCCTGCTTCACTTGGAATCCTGCAGTGGGAAGGGTGTGACGGGTGCCCAGAGACAGGAAGCCCAGCCTTTCAGTCCCAACTGCGTCAGTAGTGCTGAGGGAGATAGGAATTTGCTGCTAGGATTTTTCTTTGGAGTGGAGTGTCCTCTGTGAGAGGCTTGCAGCTGGCCTTCCTGTGTACATAAATACAGTCTTTTCCACAGTTCTGCCTGTGCTTCACTTTGTAATGCTGTGGTTGGGACTGAGAGGTCTGCATGACCAGACAAAGGCACTATGAAGAATTATTTGGCCATCTTCTTATTTCCTGGCCCCCAGATCATTCTTCCATTTGGTTAAAATACTAAGTGTGGGGAATTCCTATGTCCCACACCTTCCACCTGCAGCCTCCTCTCCTATGCCTCAGGTGAACTGCCATGACTTTAGGATTTCCTGCCCACTTGGCAGTGACCTTTGAACATGTCCAGTGGAACACTGCTGCATTGAAACCATCCGTGTTCCTCTTTGGGTCCTCCAGGGCCTGCCCAAGAGAGTGGCCAGTTTTCAGCTTTCAGTGTTCCAGCCACCCAGATGAATTTTGCTGTCTCCCCAGGAATCTTCTCTAGCTTCCTGGCTTCCCACCCTGCACAGTAGAGTTGAAGCTGACAGGATGAAGATTTAAGAGTGAATGTACTTGGGTGGAGGCTGGGAAAGTGCTAGGGTGAGGCACCTCAGTGACTCAGGGTGCCCTGGCCAAGCTGGAGGGAAGCAGCTTGTTAATGAGATGCTAATCCTGGCTGCAGGGTTCAGGAGGTAAGATTAGTGAGATATCCTCTGGGTCAGTGGATTTCCCCACAGACACCAAGGCAGGTGACTTTGGAGGAACGCATCAGAGCACTCGGGTCCCTGGCTGCCGCCCCGCTGGGGCAGCTGGCAGTCGCAGCTGCAGCTCTCCTGGCACACCTCTTTAGGTGTTCTCTTCTGGGGTTTGTGCCTATTCTGCATATCTTCTCTGATGATAAAGCTGTGCCTCTAAAAATCAAAAATTTGATTTTTAGAAACTGTCAGAAATCAGGGAAGCCTATTTTTTTCTCAGTAATAAACAATGACAGCTGAATGACAGTTGAGGGTCAAAAATATGTGACTTTAGATTTTTATGATTTCCAAAGTAACAATAAAAGCAGTGTCTAGATTCAAGTTCCAGAGAGGACTGGGCAGTGGCAGTGACATTTGTCATTTTAGTAATGAATAACATCTGAGTCCTTACTAGATGTCCAGCGGTGGGCTAAGTGCTTTACATCTCTGCTCACTTACTCTTCACAACAACCTTCTGAAGTAAGAAATATCTATATCTTACAGATGAGAAAACTAAGGAATTTGTCCATGGTTACATGTTAGGAGCTGGCGGAGCCAGGATTCGGGCTCTGGTAGTAACAAACTCATTCTGAAGACATTAATAGTTAAAGGATATTTAAGTTCTTATTGGTTAAACAATCACATTAAAATCATACCTTCACATCCTACTGTACTGTTTTAAATACTAAGGATGTTGAGTAATTTATAAACATTACTAGCTTTTTAAGAAAAACTAGTATATAGTACAATAAATATGGCCACAGATAATGGAAGCGAGTGCAAGACTGTAGGAAATGTTTTTATTTCCAAAGGATAAAGGGAAGTTACCAAGTTACCTCTCCCCCCACCCCCCACTGAGTTGGTATATATCTTGGCTTTGTCTCAAGTCTGGACCTCCCTTCATCCCACCTACCACTTCAACTTGGGCCATTTGGAGAGAGAAGTAGAGACTAGTACATACCTGGTGATTAGAATAGTTCATAGGTTGGAAGGAGGATGGGAAAGGAGAAAGGGATATCTAGCTCAAAGGGTTCCTCTGACACCCTAGTTCCAGGCAGCCCTGCCCAGATTAGAACCAAATGGAGGCCAGGATGGCAGCCAGAAGACACCTGGAGGAAGTGTGGGAAGCTCCAGGTCCCCACGAGTCCTACCAGATGCGCAGTGCAAACAGGCACCCCTGGAAGCAGTTTTTTTGACTCCTCAGTGACCCCAAGATCAGGGTGGCTTCTTTCTGGCTAGCCCAGAGGGCAGTCAGTGCACAGGTGTGGACCTCCTCCCTGTGTCTCTAGTCCAAGGACCACACCCTCAGCAACAGGGCAAGTGGGGACAGATTCAGGGCACAAGACAGGCTTTCTGTTGAGAGGGATTTAAAAGCTGCTGTCCTGCTTGAGGTTTTCTTAGGAAAGCAGCAAAGGGTAGTGAAAACAGCATTGAGAGGAGGGACTTGAGAGTTTTAGTTCCTGTCCTGTGCTACCTGGACAAGTCAGAATTCTAGGTACTAGAAGGCTTCAGAGAGCTGCAGTGGAATGCAGGGTTAAGTCCCGGAGGACCGTTACCAGCTGTTACACCTTGCATAAGATACCTACCTGCCCCCTACCTTGGTTTACTCATTTGTAAAATGAAGATAGTAATAGTGCTTCCCTGGGTTGTTGAGGGGATTCAATGAGATACCATGTATAAAGCACTTAGCATAGTGCCCAACACATAGAAAATGATCCATAAATCAAGTAGTGATAGTTACTGCCCCTACTCCTCAACCATTTTACAGAGGAGACACCTTGTGACCCTCAAGTTTTTTCACCTGATAGATGGGGATCAGGCTTGCCTATGATCTAAATACAGCTACCAAGTACCAAACTCCTATGTGCCGTGAACTGCAAAATTATCTATGTATATTCTCATTTAATCCAATGACATAAGCACCATTATTTCCCCATTTTGCAGACTAAGAAACAGGTTCAGGAATAAATGACTTTCCCTAATCACACAGCTGGTAAGAAGCAGGACCCGTCTACCTCACCAGCCCAATCCTCTCTCTACAGTCCAGTCAGTGTTTGAGTGGTACACAGTCCAGACTGGGAGGGGGACAAGTGCCATTTTAGCAAAAGGTTGTCAAAATAAGATTCTTTTTAACAAGCGGCTTGTTGCCTTAAGGTGGACAGGCAGGCAGCTGTCGGTAAGTGAGAAACAGGGTCAGTACCGGCCCTGGGGCTTTATTATGGCGCAGGGCCAGGGAGGAGGCAGGGGAAAATGCCAGACATTTGTCCAATACCCAGCAAACTGGCTGCCCACATTGAGCCTGATTTGCCCAAAGCCCTCTGGAATGGATATTAGAATGCCTATTGTAAAAACAGGTAAAATTGGCTCAGGTCATGTGACTTGTTAAAAGTCACTCAGATTCGCTTTAATTTTCCCATGGTTTACTAACTGTTACGGAGCCATTTCTGGGGTTGTCTTCTCTGATCCCCAGATATCTGTTGCAGTCTCCTGCCCAAATCAGACTCTTAACTGAGCCCAGCATAGGAGCCTCAGATTGGTTAAGGCAAGGGAGGGTGGTCGTGGGGAGACCCTACCTGTGGGTTTGTGGGAGGCAGGTTGCCCAAGGCACGAGTGCCTGCGTGGGTGGGGAGAAGGCTGGAAGGAGTGCCCTTTCAAGGGCATCTTCGTGGCCCCAGCGGTACCCTGGCCACGCTGGCTGTTAGCCTCAGCACACAGACACACCATAGCATTCCCCATGGGCAGCCCACACTGCCAGTCTTGCCCAGGCCCACGCCTTTCCAGTCCCTCCTCGGAGCTCCGCGGCCAGGCTCCCGTGAAGACTAGTGCAGGGGGCCTCTGACTGGGAGCCTTTTGGCTGGGGACGCGCTGCCCTGAGCGCCTGCTGATAGCGCACGTGGGGCGGAAGTTCATGCGCAGGTTGATGGAATAAATGGAAGGTGCTTGGGCAGAAAGATCGAGTACGGTTTATTTTCGAAGGTTGATGGGATTGATGATGTCCTGCTCAAGAGAACCGAAATAGAGACCTCCAGAACTTGGGCCGGAGTGCAGTGGACGTTATTGAGGTGGCAGTTTCGTGGGGGGTGCACCGCAGGGGAGCGTGGGGAGGCGGGGAAGGCGCCGCGGGGGCGCCCGGCCGGCCTTGTTACCCAGGCAGAGCTGTCCTGCGCCAGGGCCCGGCTCCGACTGCGCCGCCCGGGGGAGAGGGGTTCGTTTCCGTGCGCGCTGGCGCAGCGGATGCTCAGTCACGGTGCTGAGCACAGCTGGGGAGGGGGTGTGTGAGCAGGCGGGTTCCAGGGGAGTGCCTCCCGTCCCCCACTCCCCAATCCGGAGCTCTCGGGCACTGCCCTGGCTCCCTGCGGGAGGACTCTGCGCCCCTAGATGGCTGCGCTGCTTTTCCCAGGGCGCCCACTCGGCGCAGCTTGCCTCTAGGGAATATGGAGAATTATCGTCTTCACCCAGAAAAAGCCTGGACTCTCAGGGTTTTCCGCTCCCCAGCTGCTTGTTCAGTGCCCCGCAGGGGGTGACCCCAACCGGAGGGGGTCGACCAGGACTTGGGACTGGAGGGTGGACGTGCCGTGTCACACGGGAGCTGTAGAGATGCAGTACCAACTTCCCGCCTGACTCGGTGCCCCATGTGACCCAGGTGGGGCACATTTCAGGGCCCAGCTGACACCCGTTTATTGACACCCCGCATGGCACAATGAGCGTGAGTGACGGGCTGGACACTCCACTGCGCCTTTTTCCTCTCTTCGGAGAATAAACTGGAGAGCATCAAGCAGACCTAGAGTGGAGTTCTTGCTCCATACTTCCTCGCTGTGGGAGCCTGGACGAGTCACCTCCCGTCTGGGCGCCGCTAGTCTCCATCTCCGTGGCTTGAAGGACCATTGTGGCGTACTTGGGCCTGTACCCAGAAAGCACCCGATAAATCTTCCCCTGTTATGACTTAATAGAGTGTATCACTCAGGAGGCCAGTTCGCTGGCTTTTTTTGTTCCAGGTGCTAGACTGACCTTGGGGGCCTGGGATGGGGTGGAAGAAGCCTGAAGTAGTGACGCGCCCCCCCACCCGCCTTTGCTGAGGGCCCGTTTCCTCCAACGTCTCCAGCCCCAAACAGGCAGAGTCAGCGGTAGTATCTTCAGTGCCATATGGGAGATTTTATTTGTAGACTCGCAAATTTCCTGGTCCGTCCCTCCCGCTCAGATGATCCGCAATCTACCGCGTCGCCTCACAGCTCTGGCTGCCATCCAAGGTCGCACCACCTGCCAACAGAGACCTCGGTGTTAGGAGCCAAGAACGCCTCCAGGTGGCGCTGCCGCCCCAGGAGAGGCCTCAGGGACCAGGGCGCTGTGATGTCTGGCAGGTTTCGTGAAGGGGAAGCCTCTCCTTAGGGGGACCTCCAAGTTCATCACCCTCTTCCTTTCTTTCTCTCATGGAAGGGGCCGGGGCTGGAGTATTCCTTTTTCTTTCTGCTAAGGAACTTTTTGTTCAGAATAAATCTTAATGGAATCATGAATGAATAAAACAAATGGAGAGCTGATTTAGTCTAAGGGAATGGGAAGTGGCAGAGCCCTACTTGACCACTTCCCCTCTCCCCGCACTTGGAAATCCCTAAACCCACTTCCATCGACTTCTGACTGAGATTCTGAGCCATAGCAGTTGTGGCCCCGCGGAGGCCTCCAGGCAATGAGATGACCCACCTCAGAACCGACACTTCCAGTGCCCTTCCTTTCCCAGAGCCCCTGGACAGAGCCTGAGAAGCCCCTGCCTAGCCACCACCCCGCTGTGTGGCCTGGGTCAGTTGCCTCCCCTCTCTGGGCCTGAAGGTGGGGCCTCCTGGAGCTGCCAGCCACACCTCCAACAACTCTGGTTCTAAGTCCTCTGACTCTGGGGCCTTCCTCTCACCCTGGCCTGGTGGTGGCATCTGCATACCCTGTATGGGTGGAACATAGGCAACTCAAGCGATGCGGAGCAGAAGCGGGTGCAGCAGCGCTTGACCCAGCGCAGGGGGGATGATCTGCACATCACCCGGGGCCCTGGGAGGTGGACGCGCGTGGGCAGCCCCTCAAACCAGACCCACTGATCAGCTGCTTCCAGCTGCTTCATGTTCCCCATAGGAGTTCTTTGCTGGTGGGTCTTCAGGAAGTCGACTCCGGGGATCCTGGTGGGTGGTTGCCTCTCTTGAGCTCTGGAGCTACCGGTCAGGCTATGACCTTTCAATGTCATTGGAACCTTGGGCTCCACCTGCTCTTCTTTCTGTGGCACTGCTTCAGGTAGCTGCTCTGCCTTGTTCGTCTTTCCCAACCCCACCTCGGGCTCCCCTACGGACTTTAATTTCTTGGATTTCAGTTTGCTCTTGGGGCACCTCGCCTCCTGGAGCCCTTTGCTATTGTGTTCCAGTTTATTGCCGATGTCATCGTTCCTGTCAGGGAGAGGAAGGGCTGTCAGCAGAGCAGGACCAAATCCCTGGTCCTCTTGCCGAGCTCCGAGGCAGTTAGGGAGCCAGCTCAGGAGAGCCTGCTAAGAACTCTGGAGACAGCCTGAAAAGAAACTTCTTTACCACTCAGAGGCCTTATGCCTGGGAGCAGGGGATGTGCTCAGTACTGGTAGGAGGGATCTAAGCCGGAGAAGGGCAATAGCCAGTAGTTCAGACACCCAGAACACGTGTTGTCTGCATTCGCCACTGTGCTAGGGTTCTGCCTTTCTGACTGCAGTTATGGGGCAAACTAGTCCAGTCTTTTTTTCAAATTGTGTTCCAAGAAACCTTAGGGTACTGAGGAGATATCTCAAATGTCCCGGACCCCTGGGAGGGGCAGGATGAAGACAGGATAGCTCCCTCTCCAAGAACACAAATGGGGCTTGGGACAGATACTTTAAGTTCTGCTGCTTTCAGAAGGTTTGAAAACCATGGGACTAGATGATCCTGACACTTCTGCTAAGTTTCCTGATTGCCTTTATTGCAGAGGCCAACTCAGAGAGATCAGTGGAGTTAACCAGAGGTATTAAATGTTGGAAGGATTCTTTCCCAAAGGGTGTGTGTAACAGACTGGGTCCCCTGAAAAGTAGCACCATCATTCTGAGCATGTATGAAGAAGGAGTGAGGCCTCGGGCTCAAGATAATGACAATAATGGTAATAATGGCCATAGCTGATTGAGCGCCCACTGTGTGTCAGGCCCAGGACCTCCACAACAGTCCTGCAAAGTTAGAAGGCAGAGGGGCAGAGCAACTTGGAGAGCACAAGCTTTCAAGAGAGACAGACTGAGGTTCATATTCATTTCTGTCTCTTACCATCTGTGTGATTTGGAGCAAGAAATTTAGCCTCCTAGGGCCTTAGTTTTCTCATCTATAAAACTGGGATAATTCTGTCTACCTAATAGGACTGTTACGAAGAATAAATTAAATGAGAAAATGCTTGTTAAGTAGTTGGCATAGAACCTGGCACCTAGCAGGTGCCTGATGAATGTTAGCTTTTTTAATATTTCTGATGTGACTTCTGAGGGAACTGAGCCTCAGCAAGATGGACGGGTCGGCAGGTGAATCTCTGGGCTGTGTGGACCTGAGAGGGGGAGGAGGAGGATGAGGGGGCCCTCTGGTTTAGTGCTCCAGGTGCAGGTTAGTTGCATCATGGATGGTGATAGCTGTGGGCACAGCTTTAAAAGCAGACAGGAATGGCTTCAAATCCTAGCCCTGCCCCTTACCAGTTCAGTTAACTGGGACATGTCACTTCATCTCTTGAGCCTCAGCTCCCCATCAGTAAAATAGGGCTAATAAAAATACCCCTCTTGGAGGCTTCATGAAAACTAGGTTTTCTGAATTCCTTAGCACAGTGTCTGTTCCTAATAAAGATAGCTATTGTGTCCATGGCAGGGGCCATAGGTGGGCCGAGCTCACCCAGAAGAGATCCTGACGACCCTCAGAACCCTGAACAGTGAATTCCATCTTTTGGCCAGGTTATACAGTTCTTGGATCCGGGGGTTCGAGCTCTTGAGCAGCCTCAAGAGCGACAAGTTTTTTAATACCTGCCAGGGTCAAGAAACCAGGAAAACAGACTTCAGCTTTAGTAGGATAGCCACCCACTCCCCACCTGGACCTTGGCCCAACTCAGCTCAAGGCTGGGCCTGTGACTCCTGGGTCACTCAGCCTGCCAACCAGGAGCCCCACTGGGTGGGTGTGCAGGCTCTCCTAAGCAGGGATCAGAATGGGGCATCTCACTGTTTTAAGTCGGTTCCACTCAGTTCCTTTGCTGACAGGCCGCAGTACCACGTCCTGTGGTCCCTCCTCTTGCATCTGAGAGACAAGGAGAGAGCGCGCGCACCTGCACTGACACGGCAGGAGTCCCCCTCAGCACCTCACTACACTTCTCCATTTGATCAACCTCAGCCTGGGGTTTCTGTCACCTTGGCTCAGGAGCAGAAATGGGAGACGACTCTAAAGTTCTCGGCTTCCATTCACCCTTCACCTCCCTCTCCCTCCCCCCCAAGCTGGAAGGCCCCTGCTCCAGGTGTGGTTCCATTCCTTGTTAAAGGCCCCCCTCCTCTGTCCAGTCCCAGGTCCAACCTCGGAATCCACTCTATTCTTAGGCCTCTTCTTGGCTGATGGACTCATACTGGGGCTATGGGGCCTCCAAGACAGATGGAGAAGAATGGTGCCAGGCACTGCCCACACCCTGCCCCTCTCAGTTCAGCCAGCACTCAGGCTGGGCAGCAGAGCGGCTGTGCTGGGGCTCCCAGGGAGGGGAGCTGTGACATCACTGGAATGTGTGACAGTGACAGGGCTGGGTCTCCAAGGAGGGTGTGTGTGGGCAGAATGGAGGGTGGAGGGGGAGTGCTCCCACACCTCAGATGGGGTGCATCACCATCTCCCTGTGAGGTAAGAGAATTAGCCCCTTTTTTCATGAAGAAGCCAAGTTTTAGAGAGGTTAAGTAATTCACCCCAGGCCACCTGGATGAAGGTAGAACTGGAAACCTAAGGTCTGAGTTAACCCATGAAACCAGGGGCTCCTAACTGCGTTCACCTATCCATTCACATCACACATGTTGTCAGTGCACCTGCTATATGGCAGGTGCTGTTTTAAGCGCTAGAATAAAAGAAAATTCTCACCCTCAAGGAACTTATATTCTAGTGTAGGGGAAACAAAACAGTATGTGTGTGCTCGCAATGTTGAATAATTGGCTCTCTGAAACAAAGTGTGAAAATACATGTGCATTCAAGTTTTACTGATAAAATCTAAAATAATAAAATTCTACAATACTCTTTATTGTAAAGTCCATAGAGCCAGTTCATTCTAACAATATACTTTTCTTGAATTTTGCCTAAACTAACTCTTGTATCCATAGCCAACCTATGGTTGTAACAGATGAACAGATGTTAGTTGCAACATGAATGTTGTTTTCATTTACATGAAAGAGTAAAAGAAAGTGGAAAAACAAAGATGTTGGAATTCCACTCATTCATCAATGACATGATCGACTTATTTGCTGTGTTGGATCAGAGTTTTCAAATACTGAAAGTATATTTTCTCAAAATTTTTTGGGTTTACATTGCTATTTACAGTGTAACAGCTGTAGACAGGACACATGTTTACATTTAATCTGCATTATTAACACCTCCTTCATTACCTTGATAAGAGTGGGCCAGGGATCAACAAATTTCTTCTGTAAATGGCAAGATAGTAAATATGTTAGGCTCTGCAGGCCATACAGTGGCAACTACTCAACTCTGCTATAGTATGAAAGTAGCCATAGGTAATATTTAAATGAGTGGGCATGACTGTGTTGCAATAGAACTTTACATACAAAAAACAATAGTTGGAGGGCTGGATTAGGTCATGGCCAACCCTGGTCTGGACAAACAACTGAAGAGTAAATCAAAACCTGATTTATCATGTTCCCTGTTTCTATAGTGTAAATACTCATATCACAGCTGATTTCAAGCTACCAATGTGATGTTACTGAATGCAAAGCTGAACAGAAATGTACAGTAGCACACCCATTATATGTGTTTCTACTGTATTTCTACAGATATAAAGACTCTCAAGAACATAGATCATAGTAAAAGGTAATAAAAAGAAAGTGATGAGTTTGAGTATTTTTTACCTTTGTTTTTAATATCATTAATTTAATTTAATTTGTAGAATATAATTTTTAATGATGGCAATGCTTTACAACCCATCAGCAGAATTCCTAAAAAAATGTAATAGGCTTTTGCAAGCCCTTGCAAGTCTGATCCAGCATACCACTGTTAGGTCAGATAGATGTAAGTGTGTGCAGAAAAGTAAACAGCAGAGGGGACAGGGAGAGCAAAGATAGTCAGTTTGCTATAATTAAAAGGGTGGAATGGGAGAGATTCACCACCAAGATGAGATGTAAGCACAGGCCTGAAGCAGGCGAGGGAAAGAGAGTGGCGGTGGCAAGAGATGAGGCCGGCGAGTGCCACGAAGGACTGGGACACATAGTGGGAGACTTTAATAACTCTGGGCCGCCTACATTAGAATAACCTGAAGAGCTTGTGAAAAACAGTCTCTTGGGCACCACCATTCTGTCAGGCAAACTCAACCAAGTGTGAGAACCAGCTGGCTTCTAGGGTGGAGAGGAGTGTGTGCATAGGCAGTGCTTAGCTCTGCCTTTTCAGGGTGAGGGTCAAGCCCAGACTGCACTATAGCTTCCTACATATAAATGTCCTTATTAAGGTGAAGATGAGGGGATGGTTAAACATGCTGTGTGCAGCCCAGGGAAGAAACCGAGGAGGTGGCCAGGGAGGGAGGACACGGAAGACAAGCCCTTCCCCCTCCCTTCTGTCTACCCCAGTACTCCTTGGCTTCTGGGCCCAGTCAGGCATCTGTCTTCTTGTCGGCACAATTCCAACTCTTTATCATCTGGATTCTGCTGGAGTCTGGTGGGCTGTATCAAAATCATGTACACTTGCCATTCAGCCCCCTTGGTGCCAAGGGTTGCAGACCCACTGTGTGATAGGCACTCAGGGCAGCAACATCATGGACAGAGCATGCCTCCTCTCAAGAAGCTTACAGACCCCGGGGAGAGGTACTTCTAGAATATGGGCTCTGCAAGGGCAGGGGGTTTTGTCTGTTCTGTTCATCGATAAACCCCCAGAGCCTGGAATAATGCCTGGCAGATAATAGGTGCCCAATAAGTATTTTCTGAAAAAGTGAAATAATAGCATCACTTATAAGGGTAATCCTGGAACTGTTGGAACACAGAAGTGAGGGAAGTCTTTGTAGAAATGGTGATAAGGAAGGAGGAGGAGTAGAAGTCCAGGCAAAGGAGTGGGAGGTGGGCAAGGCGCTCTCAAAAGAGGGAATTTAAAAAATATAGGTGTGGAAGGGAATTATGAACAGCTGCATGCTGTTGGAGTAGAAAGTACAGACCAAGAGTGGCAGTGGCATTTTGAGGTAATTTTTATATACAAGGTGAAGTATGGATCAAAGTTCCTCTTTTCTACATAGATATATAATTATTCCAACACAATTTATTGAAAGGTTGTCTTCTCCCCCATTAAATTCCTTTGTACTTTTCTCAAAAGGCAGTTTCCCATATATGTGTGGATCTATTTCTAGACTCTCTATTCCATTCCACTGATCTGTATGTCTGTCCTTTGCCAATACCACACTCTCTTGATTCCTTTAGTAAGTCTCATGGTCTGTCTGGATTGCTATAGTGCTGTAACCTAATGCTTGGAATCTGTGTGTTCTCCAACTTTTCTGTTCTTTCTCAAAATTGTTCTGTCTATTGTCCTTCATTTGCCTTTCTTTATAAATTTTAAAATCAGGTTGATTTCTACAAAATGTCCTAAGATTTCTACTCTGCCCCTCGGACTCACCATTCTGAGCCATCCTTTCTTTTTTGTGTGCATTTGCAGTTGATTTGCTTTCTCAGCCTGCTTATTGCCAGTAGCATCTTGAGGTTCAAAGCCCCTTTTCCCCTTTCTAAATTATGTATTAAACTTTTGAAATTATTATAGGTTTATAGGAAGTTACAAAAATAGTAGTTTCCTCCAGTGGTGACACCTTATATAGCTATACTGTAGTATGAAAAGCAGGAAATTGATATTAGCACAATACACAGACTGATTCAGATATGATCAGTTTTACATGCACTCATTGTGTGTACTCCATCACCACACAGATCTCCCTTGTGATATCCATCCCTCTCCCCACCATCCCATCCCTAATGCCTAGACACTTCTAATCTTTTCTCCATCTCTATAATTTTGTCATTTCAAGAATGTCGTATGAATAGAATCAAACAGTATGTAACCTTTTGAGATTGGCTTTTTTCATTCAGCATAATGCTGTAGAGATCCATCCAGATTGTTGTATGTATCAACAACAGTTCCTTTTAAACTTAAAAATAATCATTATAGATTCATAGAATGTTCCAAAAATTTATATGCAAAAGTCCTGTGTCTCCTTCACTCACATTCCTCCAATGGTAACATCTTGCATACATAATATAGTGCAATATCAAACCACCACAATGAACACAGCACAGTTCCATCATCCCAAGTCTCCCTCATGCTGTTTTTAGCCACACCTACTTCTCTTTCCTCCTAACTTAGCCCCTGGCAGCCCTCTCCATGTCTATAATCTTGCTGTTTCAATAATGTTATATAAATGGAATCATACATTATGTACAATTTCAAGCTTGCCTTTTTTCACTCAGAATAATGCCCTTGATATCCATCCATCCAGTGTGTAGAGCAATAATTTGTTCCTTTACTGCTGTGAATTATCCCACAATATGGATATGTCACAGTTGGTTTAATCATTCACTCACTGAAGAACATTTAGTGTTAAAAGCTATCTGCCTTGGTAGGGTGCCGCTTTCTCCATCCTTTGACAGGAGAGACAGGCTTTTCATGGGGGAGAGTTTTGTCTGTGCCTGTTTGGCATTTCCAGGTGGCAGTCTTCTCCAGCAACCTAGCAAAAAGAAAACCCAGGACTCACCGCTGTATCATTTGAGTACCAGGCTCCTAGTTGGTCTGCTTCTTATGTTTGTTTGTGCAGCATTTTAAGCTTTAGTGGGAGGGGTAGAGAGGAATGCATCTATCTAATCAGCCATCTTGCTCGGAACCGGAAATCCTTTTCATTTTGTGCTCTTTTTTCCCTATAAATCCAAGCTGGAGTTGTTTCTGGGCATATAATCCTTTAAGAACTTGTGGATCACTCTGAATCTTATTCAGGTCCACTGTACTAGACAAAAGCCATGCTCACGATTTCTTTGAGACAAGCCCTTGTCTCCATTAGGCTTTTGCTGAAGTGGCTAAGGGATACCACCCTTAGTTTTCTAGAACCCCTATTGTCAGTCGGGATTTGTGAGGCACACCATAATTTCTTTAATCTGACTGACTAGTAGTACTCTGAGGCACTGCCTTGAATCTAAGAACCGCTGCTTTAGTTTCTCTCTCTCCTCCTGCATTTTACTACAAGGAGCAAGAAGAGACCAGGTGGCACCAGTGCTTTCCTTGGAAATATTCTTAGCTAGATCACCCACTTCCTTAGGCACATGTTCTGCTTTCCACTTGACTACAGGCCACAGGGTTGCTCAACTCTGTGCCACAACATAACAAGAATGCCTCCTCTCCCCCCCTGCCCAACAGTACTTACTACACTGGCCCATATGCCCTGGCTGAGATCTTACCAAGGCCTAAAGCTTCTAGTCACAGCTCTTCGGGGCACTGCAAGCTCTCAAAGTCTACTGCTCCGTTCTCATGCCACTCCCACATTTTAGAGTGCTGTGACAGCAGCCCAACACCCCTGTACCAAAATCTTTCTATGTTATCTATTGCTGCAGAGAAAATTCTCCTGAAATCTGATCGTTAAAAACAAGAAATATTTATTATCTCAAAGGTTTTGAGCATCAGGAATCCAGGAATGCCCTAGACGCGTGATTCTGCCTCCGTCTCTCACACGGCCGCAGCCATGGCCAGGTTCTGTCAGGGCCTGTGAATCTGCTTCCAGGCTCATGCACGTGGTTGCTGGCAGGCCTCTGTTCTCCGGCTGTTGGCTGGATTCTTCGGTTCCTTGCCACGTGGGCCTCTCTGTAGGGCAGATGACAGCATAGTAGCTTGCTTGCCCAGAGTCAGTGATATAAGCAATAGAGAAAACACACCCAAGGTGGAAGCTGTGGTCTTTTTTGTTATTAATCCTAATTTTGGTTTAATGTACCATTATTCCTGTCATATCTTATTGGCCACATAGCATAACCTTGATAACAGTACAAGAGAAGATGATACAAAGGTACGAATCAACACAAGGCAAGGCACATTGGGAGTTATTTTGGGGGCAGGTTGCTGCACTCCAATTTTATTCAATTCAAGATATTTTTCTAATTTCATTTTCAACTTCATCTTTGACTCCTTGGCCGTTTTGCAGTATTGTGTTTTATTTCCAAGTATTGGGGTGTTTCCAGATACCTCCCTGTTATTATTTATATTTTAATTCTTTTATAGTCATAAAACATATTTTGTCTGACTTAAATTCTTTAAAATTCATTGAGATTTGTTTTACGGCCCAGAATATGGTGATGTATCTTGGTGAATGTTTTACACGCAATTGAAAAAATGCTTATTCTGCTGTTGTTGGGTAAAGTGTTTTAAAAATATCAGAACAAGTTAGTTGATGATGTTCAGGTTTTCTATATCCTTACCTCTTTTTCTGTCAACTTGTTTTATTGATTACTGAAATAAAAGTGCTGAATTATCTAACTGTAATATAGATTTTTCTCTTATTTTAGGTGTATTGGTTTTTACTTCATTTATTTTTGACATTCTGCTATTAGATGCATACACATTTACAGTTATTTAGTCTTCTGTTGAACTGAACCTTTTATCATTATGTGGTAGCCCTCATCGCCACCAGTAATGGTCCTTTTGAAGTCTACTTTGTCTGATATTAACATTGTCCTTCCCATTTGCTTTGATTATTGTTGGCCTGATATATCTTATGCTATCCATTTACATTTACCCATATATTTCTTTAGAGTTAAATGAAGTTTCTTATAGACAGCATATTATTGACTTTTGCTTTTTTCCCCTGGTCTACTAGTCTGTCTTTTAATTGGTTGTCTTTCACTGGTACAGTTGGATTAAATCTTCCATCTTGATATATGTTTTCTGTTTTCCCATCTGTACTTTTTCACATTTTTCATCGTTTTCTTCCTTACTTTGGATTAATCTTTTTTTTTTTTTTAGGGGAAAACCTCAACCTATTGGGTACAAAAAGTAGACAATAAGACTTACTGCATCTGATCGAGACAGTTTATTACTCATAGCACACCAGACAACATGAACATCAGCATAGTTGTGTGCTGGTCCTCCTGGCCCTATGTCCAGCAAGTGATACAGTGGTCCCAGATGCATGGCACACACACGGTGGGGTTGTGCTGTGGCTGAGGAACCCAGGCCTGGCAGTTTTATAGCACGCTGTAAGCAATGCCTTTGTCTGAGAAAGATGTGATTGCATGTAACTCCTCTAATGGGATACCTGCTGTAATTCTTATCTTGGTTCCTCTGTAAGTGGTCTGTCTTTTTTCTCTCAAAACCTTCATGATTTTCTCTTTATCTTTGGTTTTAACCAGTTTGAATATGACAGACCCTATATTTTGTCTGTGTGTGGGGGCTTGCTTGTGTGTCTGTGTGTTTGTGTGTTGGCATTTAACCATTTTTGGATTCTGTGAGTTTTTTCTCTCTCTGGTTCTCTCATTTTTTGGAAAGTTACTGGTCATCATTTCTACAAATAAATATGTGTATGTGTGTGTTTCTACCTATACTTTCTTCTCCTTNTATTAAGTTTACCAATGAGCTTACCTGCCAAAGGCATTCTGTATGTATCTCTGTTATATGTTTTTAAAATTTCTGGCATTTTCCATATGACTCGTATAGTCTCCATCTCTCTGCTAACACTCCCTTTCTGTTTATGCATGTTGTCCATATTTTCCAATATATTTTTAGAGCTGTTTTAAATTCTCTGTTAGATAACTCCACAGAGTTATCTGGTGCTGAGGTCTGATTCTGTTTGGTTGTTGTTTTATCTCTTGACAATAAGGGTTTTCATTTTTTTGAAAATTGCTTTCTGTGTGTGTATAATTTTTATATTGATTTCTGGACATAATATGTAGAACAGTAACATTGAGGTAAACATTATTTACCTTTCTGGAAACTGTCACCTCTCTCTTTTCTCAGGCCATTAGTGTGGAGCCTTTAGTCTTGTCTGGAGTTGAACTGGCTTTGGGCTTTGCTGTTTCTGTGATGATTTCACGTGTCTGTGACTCCAGTGTTTTCTGTACACTTAGGCTAGCCACAGTAATTCTGTAAAAATTGCAGCTGAATTCTTCCAACCTGTTTGCACAGAGACCTCTTCCTCCTCCTCCAGCTTCTCAAGTGTGCCAGGGCCTGCGTCCCATATCTTCTTGGAGGTTCCTTGGAATTCAGGTTAATTGGTTGTCCTGCAACCTCAGCTCTCTGAAGGGTTCAACACAAGTTATAATTTTATAGATTACCTAACAATTTTAAAAGTTGTTATTAGTGTGGTAATGATACTCTTGCCAGATTCTGCATCCTAGATGGAAGCCACAAGTCTAAGCCATCTACTTGTTCACTTCTTTCATCTCTTTCTGCCACCTACTCCTGGGTCTGCTGCCTGTGGCTTTCTCTTGGCTAACATCCTTGCTGCATATCCTCCTGAATTATTTCTAGCTTGGTTGCTTTTTTTCCCCTCTGCTCCTTCATGTAGAATGTATCTGGCAAAGAGATGGGACAGAGGTTTCTGATCTGTCACCATCTTGGGGACAGTTCAAAATAATCCATGGAGTCCATGGGAGCTCTCATCCACTGTACTCCTGACTTGGCCTCATTCCTCTGTGCTGGGCAATAGGACTCCATTCATAAAACTGACCAAAACATTTCTTAGGAGATGAAAACTGAAACAGGATAAAAAGGGAACAGGCTGGGAATAGTGGTGACAAGCACAGTGTCTGGAAGTATACCTGGGTTCAGATTCCACTTCCGTCACTTAACTTGCTGTATGTCCTCAGTCCCTTCATCTTTGTATTTCAGTTTCTGGATCTATACAATAGAAATAATAATAGTACTTACCTCACAAGATTGTTAAAAGGATTTAAAAAGTTAGTATATGAAAGGCACTTACAATTGTGACAGGTTCCTAGTAAGCTCTGTAGCAGGAGTACCTGGTAGGGCATACTTCCTGTAATTTCAGAAATTGGTAGAAGAAAGCAGTATCCTCCCTTTCTCAGAACCCATCACTACAAAATAACTAATGTTTATTAAGCAGCTCAAAGGGACCAAGCCCTGTACGAAGCATTTCATATGAATTATGTCATGAGAGGTAGGGGTTAATTATTCCTATCTAGTAAGCAGGAAAATCAAGGATCAGAGAAAGTAAGTGGTTACACCACCAGCTAGATGGAGAGCTGGGTTCCTAACCCAGGAGGGTCTGACTACCATGCCTGTACTCAACCACTGCACTCGTTGCCTCCCACAAACTAGTGCCCTTGCTGGTAAAACAGTAGGAAGCTGCTTGCTGTATTTCTCTCCCAGGCTTGTTTTAAGAGCTGAGTAACAGTAGAAGAGGCAGGGTTTTAGGTATTTGTACAGAGTGCTGGCCCCCCGACAGGGAAATCTGAACTGTGTCATGGCTTTTCACACCTCCATCCCTTTGCACACGCCCTCTCCCCTCTTCTCTGCTGGTTGAACTAATTTCTTCAAGACTCAGCTCAGATATCAGCGGGTAGATTATATTCTAACAATGGAAAGATTTTAAGTAGGGGGTTGGCAGTTCAGACTGGAGTTTAGAAATGAGGACTGACTGCTGTGTAGCAGGACCAGGGTGAGCACTGGAAAAACAGGCAGAAGGCTGCTGTAGGAGCCAAGGAGCCATGGCGGTGGAAACGGAGAGCAATGGTGGATGGAAAAGATACTTAGGAAAGAGAATAGACAGGAAGTGGAGGTGTATTTTAAAGCGGACAGGGAGGTGCCAAAGATGACTTCCTGGCTTTCTCGAGGATATTTGTGGAATGATCTAGTGACCCCACAGTACAAGCATCTCCGACACCCCTACCCCTGACTCCCGCGGCTTCTGAAGCTAAGAGCACTCGGGGATGGGTGGAAAGGAGGAAGAAGAGGATGGGCACGGTGTCGCCGTCCAGAAACCGCTAGACTGGACGCTTACGCTTTTCCCCGCTGCGCCCGCAGTTTGTGCCTCGCCTCAACACCCAGCCCGGACGTGCAGCGCCCCTCACAGCACCCTGGAGTTGGCTCCTCGCCGGCGTCTCGGGGCGCGGCACAGCGGCCCACCCCTCCAGCCCTGACCCGCCCCGTCCCGGCGCCCACCCCGCCCCGTACTCTGGAAGGCTGGGCGGCGGCTCTATCCAGTCCCGGAGCCGGGAATCGGGGGCCGCGGGGTGAGTCCCAGGGTCCAGAGGCCTTCGTCGCAGTGCACCTGCCCCGATGGGCGGCACCGGGTCAGTCCCTCCCCGCCCCGGCGGGTCCCCAGGCTCTCTTCCCCTGCGGTTGTGTCCTGGAGATGTGCGCGCAGCAGCGTGGCAGGCCAGGTGGACGGGTGCGTGTCCGCAGCGTCGGGGCTGCGCGGGAGTCGGGGAGCAGCAAGAGCGCGTGGGCCGGGCTCGCGAGCGGGTCCCCGCGGCCGGGCTGCGCCGGCGGGCGGGGCGCGGCAAGTGTATCCGAGCGCGCGGGTACGAGCGCGCGGCTGCGGCTGCCGGAGCCCGGCTCGTCGCGGGGAGGAAGGATGCGGGCCGGGAACTTTCCGCCCGCCCTGGAAGCCCGAGCGGTCGCCCCCGCAGGGGCTGCCCCCGGCCGCCGGGACAGCGGCGAGCGCGGGTGCCCGCCGCCCCTCCCCCACTTCCGCCTGCTGCCTCTTCCTCGTTCCCGGCTCCCAGGGCCTGTGCGTCCCGGGGGACACCCGGCGGCGCGGCCCCACCCTGGCCGGCGCGCATCGCTCCCACGCCCCCGCCGCCGTCTCGCCGGGGAGCACGGGCTGAGTCCGCGGGGGCCCCGGGCGCTGCAGGTAGGGGTTCCGCGGCGGCGGGCGCAGAGGCGGCGGCAGGGTCGGGCGGGGACGCGAGCACGCGTGGGGCTGCCGGGCGCTGCGCCGTCCTCCCTTCCCGCGGGTGCGGCGGGGCCCTTTTTAGGGAATTCTTTCTCTCCGGCTGACTCCAGGGAGGGCGGGGCGGAGACCCACTGGGCGCTCTCCATTTCACTGGCCCCGCGCGGTCCCTGGCAGTCTCCTGCCCCCAGATCTCTTCGGATCTCTTCACCCCTCTCGGCAGCACCCCTAGTCGCGTAAACAACTCCCTTCCTCTCTCCAGCACGCAGCTCGGTGGCCCCTTGGGACAGCCCCTTCCATGTCGGGGATTGATGGGGTTAGGGGGAGGAGAAGAGAGGGGGGCGTCCCGGAGTCCCTAGTCAGCGTCGGGCCCTCTCCCCTCCCCCCACCCCGCTGCAGGAGCAAACGGCCCAAGGGGCCCCGGGTATTTTTAGCGTGGTGACCTGGGCTGCAGCTCGAAGAGCCTTTCCCAGGAATCGGCGTCAGCGCCTCCCTCCTCCGCTGTCAGCGCGCAGCCACCAGGTGTCCCTACACTTCTTCGGCCCGACCTGGCACACTTGAGTTTGGGTCCCTCGTGGCCTGCCCCGGCGCCTGTGGAGATGGTCAGGGTCTCGCATAGGCTGAGTCCCGTTGAGGCGGGGACGGCAGTGTGCGGAGATGCCCATCTGGTGCGCAAGCTAGATCTCTCTTGCCTCTGGTGGGCTCAGAGCCAGCTGCTCGACGGAGACTGAGCGAACGCGAGTGAATCCAAAGGGCCTGGGCTTGCCCCGAGCTGGTGTTCTGGAAAGCTCTCAGCACTGTGGGCCAGGAGGCTTGATCTGAATAGAACCCAGGACCCGCCCTTCCAGTTACTTCTCACTGACCGACTTCTCTGGGAGATGAGACAGGGAAATGTGTCGGGGAGGAGCTCAAATACAGAGCCGTGGGAGTGCAGAGAGGGGATGGGCGTCCTCTGCATAGCGCGTGTCAGAGCTTTACATTTCACAGAGCAACTTCACAGGCAGGGTCTTCTGTTTGCGCAGGTAGGATGATTGTGCTATTTTCAGTTGGGGAGACTGAGGCTAGAAAGATATTCCCTTCCGGACAGAGCCAAGTCTGGAAGTCAGGTCTGTGATGTAAGAGCAGGGTTGGGGAAGGGGAGGGTGATGGTGTGTGTGTGTGGGGGGGAGGCGGCCCTCTAACAGGATAGGCAGGAGTTGCAGCGCCAGGGGAAGAGACCTTCCACCCTGAGAGCTCTATCCTAGCCTCTACCCTGGCCTTCTGAGGGAAGGCTGGATCCATTACGTGGAAAATGTGCCTCCCCCATTTGGGCTGGACCAATCCCTCCGACTCTTCTCAGGTCATGATACTGAGACTCTGCCACTGGCTACATTCCCTGAATACAGAGGAGCCTCTTTTGCTGTGCCTGGAACTGGCATCCCCTTTATGAAGCTAGCTAGGGTCAGCCCTGCGTCTGCACGAGCCTTGAAGTTTGTGGTAATGGGCTTTCTTGCAAGGAAGGGAAGGAGGTAGCCAAGTGCAAAAATGTCCAGGTTGCAACCAGAGGCCCCACCGCTGGGATGCTGGTTGCATTGGGGCTCCTCAAGCCCCAGACCCCACTGTATCACCCCGTAACTTCATAGCTGTACTTGTTCTTCCATCCTCCAGGAGCTGACATGGACCCAAATCCTCGGGCAGCCCTGGAGCGCCAGCAGCTCCGCCTTCGGGAGCGTCAGAAATTCTTTGAGGACATTTTGCAGCCAGAGACAGAGTTTGTCTTCCCGCTCTCCCATCTGCATCTTGAGTCGCAGAGACGTAAGCTAAGTCCTAGGGAGAGGGACTCTGGTGGGGTAGGGAGGAAGGCTTATAGGTCCTGAATCTTAGGAGTCCCCTCTCCTCGTGTTTTCTTGGCCCTCTGAACTTCTGTCTCTGGACATGACACATATCTCTGACCATCCTGCTGGCTGCAGCCTGGGTCCTCCTGACATGCCCCCCCTCTTGATATGCAGCCCCCATAGGTAGTATCTCATCCATGGAAGTGAACGTGGACACACTGGAGCAAGTGGAATTTATTGACCTTGGGGATCAGGATGGAGCAGACGTGTTCTTGCCTTGCGAAGATCCTCCGCCCACCCCCCAGACGTCTGGTATGCCCCTGTGCTGTGGGAACTTTGGCATCAGTTAGCTAGAACTGGATGTCAGGGCTCTGAAGTGAAGCTGACAAAGCTGGGAAGGGGAAGTACACACAGAGCGGCTGGAAGTGGGCGGGCATTTCTACCAAGGAATCTAGCCGTTCTGGTTTTAGGGAAGTTGACCCTGCAGGCAACTGGGTTACATACAGGTCTCCAATTCAGAATTCTAGGAATGCCCAACCCCCTTAGCTTTTGTTCATTTTACATGTGTGCAGTTAATGTAATTAATATAATTAAAACAACATAAAAAGGTAATTTTTGTATTAGTTTAAGCCGTTTTAGTCCTTTTAATATTAATTTTTATTGAACACTTTATTTGGCTTATAATACTGTGCTGAACTACATCTATTATCTCAGTCCTTACAGCATCCTGTTAGGGCAGCTGGTATTATACTCATTTTATGAAGAAGGGAATTAGACTCAGAAGTTGTCACACAGCCAGAAAATGGAAAAGCTGGGTTCAAACCATGGCTGTCTGACCCCAAAGCCCATACGCTTAACTTATGGTAGATATTCTTTTATTTAAAACTGCTGTATATATTGATGGCCTCTACCATGTGCCAGACATTTTATAAGAATTCTTAGACTTCATCCTCACAAACCTTCTGGAATGTAGGAATGTATCCCTTTTTCACAGAGGAGGAACAGCATCCTTGAGCGGAAAAGTGACTTGGCCAAAGCTGTAACTATGCAAGTGACATAGATAGAACCTGAACTCTTGAATTGGTTGAACTGACTCTAGGGTGCACACAGTGTGGGAAGTGCAAGGAACTGGGCATCAGGAGATCTGACTCTTTACTGGGCCAGCTAAGTGATTTTGGTCATGTCCCTGCCCCTCTCTGGGCTTCAGTCTGTCCTGGCCAGATGGTCTCTAACAGTCCACTAAAGCCCTGTTTGTGCCCTGACCAGCTCTTCTCTCTGGGCAGGAGTGGACGACCATCCAGAGGAGCTGGGCTTGCCACTGCCCACGCCAGACAGGACTGCATCCCGCACCTCCTCCTCATCTTCTGACCCCTCCACCAACCCACACAGTCCAAATCCCAGCGACGGCGGAGCAGACACGCCCTTGGCACAGTCTGATGAGGAGGGGGATGGGGCTGACGGAGAGGCAGAGCCGGGAGCCTGTAGCTAGCAGTGGGCCCCTACCCACAGACTGACTGAGCTGTCTGTTCCCCACGTGAGACCGTAGGCCCAACCAGACCTTTTGGAGAAGAGCAGACTCCTCGCAGTAGGCGCCAGAGGCAGGACAGGATGGTTGGATGTTGTACTTCTCTGGGAATTAACCCCCTTCTGCTTAACTGCTAACCTTTCCTTGCTGCCACACTCCCACCAGTTTTTGGCTTACTCCCAAGGTAGGGCATACAAGTGAGGAGATGGAAGATGAGGCAGGACAAGATGCCACTGCTTTTCTTAGCGCTCCTCCCTCCCCCAGACCATCCTGCAGCCTTCTGATAGAGTCTCCTAAAGCAGTGTCTGTGAGTGGATGTGAACTCCTTAGCACTCCCAGTGCGATGGTGCTCCAGCCATCTTGCTTCCTTGCATCCTTTTTTTGGAAAAGGGCGTGGTAGAAATAATAAATAATAATATACCAACCATTCCACTTCATCTTTCACATTTAAAGATATCAAACCCCCTATATTTCTTTCATTCTCTAACCAACACCATGTCCCCATCACGCGTGAACTCCGTTTACTGAAGAAATATTTATTGAATACTTGTGGTGGGCATTTGGAAAAACAGTTTTGAACAAGACAGGCTGCATCCCTGCCTTCGTGAAACTTACTGTCTCTGAAGTAGAAAACCAAGTAAATATCGTGATTCACAGGGATAGTAAGTAGCATGATGCAGAACTACTTTGGCATCTGAAAACGGGTATGTCACCTAGTTTCTGTAGTCATTGAAGAGCTGATTTTTAAGCTGAGCTCCAAAGGATGAGTAGGAATTACCCCCAGTGAGGGCTGTAATCCAGGCCAAAGAGCAGCCTCAGAAGATTTTGAATGGAGAGAAATGCCCCTGAGAAACATTCAGCTTGGCTGAATTGTTGAATTTGAGGAGGAGATGAAGGGAGAGGTAAGAGTGGCAAAGGTCAAGTCAGGAAGTGCTTTGAACCATGCATCAAGTTTCAATTTGACTACTAGTAAAATATCAGTGACTTAAGAGACAAATTTATTTTGTCATATGAAAGAACTCCCAAGTACAGGGCTATCTGGCCACTCCCTGGTTGTTGGGCACAGGGTCCTTTTCGGCTCTTTTTGCGGAGCCATCCCAAGCACATGGCTCAAATCCTCATGGATAATCTCACGTCTAAGATGGCTGCTGAAGCCCCAGTCGTCACGTCCCTGGAGACAGCAGGAGGAGAAAGTGGGTGGGCGAAGCACAGCCAGCTGTCTCTTCCCACTTCAAGAAGCATATTTGGAAGTTCTAACAAAGAGCGTCCACTTTCATCTCATTGGCCAGAACCTGCTAACATGAGAAATTTTTCCTTTACAGGTGTTTTATAGATACAGGGACCCCGCATTATCTAGAAGAAAGGCAATTCTGGCCTTTGGAACAACAATATCCCTTTCAAGTCACTGACTTACCAATGCATCTGATTTCTGTACTATCTTTTAAATTGAGAGCAGCACCCTGGCTACTGGGGAGGCTGGGGTGGTCCTTCCGTAGGGCACGCTGCTGCCTTGGTAACATCAGGGTTCTGTTTCTAAGGAATAAGAGGACAGTAGTTGTTGAATAAGTAACTAGCAATTTACATGTTAGAGATCACATTAATGAATTTGAACTTTATTAGTAGTAATGAAGGATTACAAACAGTTGCATTTGCTTGTTAAAATAATTCTGACAGCAGTATAGAGACTATACTGGAGGAGGACAGACTCAAGACAGACATGACATGACACAATAATCCATGCAAGAGAGAACAGCGGCCCAGATACTGGTGGTGATGAGCTTAACTGGGTTGAAGGAGGCTATGAACAAATAAATGACAGTCATTCGATGAATATTAAATGTCAGTGCTGAGCAAGGTTGAGACCCTGAGCATGGCCTTGGAAATGTAGTAGTGGCAAAAAAGAAAAAGACACATCCTGCTCTTAGAGTTTAGAGTCTAGTGGTGGCCCAAGTGTAAAATTGCAACTATGACTAGTGCTAGGAATGAGTTAAGAGCCTGTGCAGAGATTTCACGAGGCATTTCTCTTGAGGGAGTGACATCTGCCTTGAGATGGGAAGGATGAGAAGGAGTAAACCAGGGGAAGAATGGCTGGAAGGGTTCCTTGTGGACTGATTAGTGGGGACCAGAGCAGGAGCATAGACAGCAGACAACTTGAGCATGAGAGGAGTGGTAGTGGGCAAGAGTGGAGGTGGGAATGTAGAAAAGTGGGAGTAATGAGGAATTTAGGAGGCAAATTCCAAGGTTTGATAGGTGGGTGTGAGAGGAAGGGGCCAAGGGTGCCACCACTGTTTCTGCCTTGTGCAACAGGATGACTCAGAGGGTTCCTCACCCAGACTGGGGGGTTTCAGAATGAGGTTTGGGAAGAAGGCCATAAATCTGGGTTTGAATGTGTTGAGTTTGAGGTGCTTTGGAGACATCAAGGGAACATGTTGGGTAGACGTGTCCCAACATTTGGATCCATGAGTGTGGGCTTTAAATGAGAGAATTGGGCTGGAAAAATAGACAAGTTACCATTGTTTAGGTGGTAAATGAAGCCATGGCTGTGAATGAGCTTACCCGGGGAGAGCGGGTATAGGACCAGCTCTGAGGAATGTCAAGTAGTTTCTCACATTAGAAAAA